GCACAGGAAAGCCCTGCAGAGGGATCTGGACAGGTTGGATCAATGGGCTGAGACCAACTGTAGGACGGTCAACAACGTGAAGTTCCGGGTCCTGCCCTTGGGTCACAACAACCCCTTGCAGCACCACAGGCTGGGGCAGAGTGGCTGGAAAGCTGCCCAGCAGGGAAGGACCTGGGATGGACAGCAGCTGAACATGAGCCAGTGTCTGCCCAGGGGGCCAGGAAGGCCGATGGCATCCTGGCCTGGACCAGCAGTAGTGTGGCCAGCAGGACCAGGACAAGGATTGTCCCCATTCTGCTGCACAAGTCTTATGAGGTGCAGCTGAGGGAGCTGGAGGTGTTTAATCTGGAGAAAAGGAGGTTCAGAGGGGACTTTATCGCTATCTGCAACTATCCGAAAGGAGGTTGTAGCCACATGGATGTTGGTCTCTTCTCCCAGGTAAAAACTTACAGGATGATATGAAACAGCCCCCAGTTGTGCCTGGAGAGGTATAGATTCAATAGCTAAAATGGAAATTTCTTCACCAAAAGAGTGAAGAAATGCTTCACCAATTCTCAAGCATTGCCCAGGGAAGAAGTTGAGTCACCATCCCTGACAATTCTGAGTATCTGAATTCTGAGTATCACAGAACAGACCAGTGGAAAGAACTTTTTACATCCAGTCCTCTGTTGTGGCAACCAACCATGACACACAAATGTACTCAGAAGCACCTTTGTAAATCAGGCTGTCAGGTGCAGTACCTTCCTGGAGAGGGAACTGCACAAGCTACTTAGCCATCAGCATAGCTGCAGAGCAAATCAGACAGCCATCTTCAGTAACCAAGATGGATTTGTGGCATTAGGACATCAGTACTGCTCTCAGTAAGTGTCTGGGTAAATATCTGAAGCATCACATTGGGTCTGATTTTACCACTGATGAATTGCTCTTGCAAAATTTTAGCTTTAAAAACAAGAGGAACTTCTATCTTTATTAAGTTTTCATGATCTGGGCCCATGTGCAACTTTTAGAGGAGACAAGAACTGTTCCCTTGCTCAAGTTTTCTGCTGTCCACACATGCCAATTAAACAAAAAAAACAAAAAAAAAAGAACACCCCCCCAAAAAAGTAGGGTTTTTTTGTTGAGGGAAGCAAAGGGGCAGACAATTCAACACCAAGATCTGAGAATTTGTCTGCCTTATCAAAGTCATTTTAGGCTTGACAAAATTACCCTTCTTTGCAGCCTGAAAGGAATTACAAAACAAAATAAAATATTTTAAATGCTTATTTGTATTGTTGTACTGCTCTGTTTAACTGCTCTGGCAAACCTGGTGTTGGTTACAAATTTTTTTCCTGTGCCAAGCCAACCCAGCAATAATGAAACGTCCACGCACCCGAGTTACTCTGGGCCCTTGGCCTCCTGGCAGCTGTTATTCTTTCCTACCTGTGCTTGTGGCTGTGTGGTGCTTTGAAACTGGTGCATGTTCAGAGAGGGCTGCAGCCTGTCAGGAAGCATGCACGCTTCTCACCCACATGCCACCAAATCATGGCATCCCTGGGCTGAGTATCCCAGGTGTCCTCATTACTGGCAGGCAGGGCATATCTTTCCTGCTGCCTCTGTCTTGTCCTTTCCCACACCTCAACCCTCTCCATTCCAACCTGCCTGACCTCCTGGGTCCCCACACCCAGACTAAGTTATTGTTCGGGTGAACACTTGGGTCCAAGCCAGCACAGCCATTGCTACGTTCGTATGTGTTGTGTACGATCCAGTAGGCCTTTTTGTTCTTTATGTGAACATAAGTTCACCAGAAACTCAAATACATCTAACTTGTTGAGCGATGACAGATCTCCCAAGACAGAATGCCTTCTGCCCTGAATGCCTGCAGAGCCTGGCCCTGGATTGTATGTTTGTGATTGTATGTTTGTCGAGATCACACGTGGCCCTGTGACTTCAGCATCAAGAATATTCCCAAGCATTAGGGCAAACTGTTGCATTTGAGGAATGACAAAACACCCACAGCACTCCACAAACACCAGCACTGCTGGGAACCCCAGCAGCCAAGCAGATCAGCACGCTCCCTGCCCCACATGGCCCAGCATGCCTACAACACCATCCAGAACATGTGAGCAGCTCCACGTGTGTGCACCTGTGCCCTATGGACTCTGTCTGGAAGCCCTGCACAGTCCCATGATCTGCCTGCCTTGGAGGAGGTGGTGTTCAGGGAGCCACACCTGTGGAGCAAGTATCTGTCACCGTGAGGCACCTTCTGCCAGAAGGTGTCACAACAGATTGGAAAGGTACACCATCTTCCTCACTTATCACTTACGGCAAGCCTGAGTCAGTGACAGAGGTGATGTGGGTGCCCCATGTTAGCAAGCAGCAGCTGGCTCCCTAATGTGTATGACAACAACCAGAACAGCTGTGTGCAGGCCCCCTGGGAAATATACCCAGGCCTCCTTCATCCCTACAGTAAAGATCACCTTCTTCTTGCAGACAGTGTGCTGTCGAGCACAGGGATCTCTGTGCCCTGTGTCTGCACTCTGCATGAAGGAGACTCAGCCTGGCTTCACCTTGAGGTCCTGAAATCTTCAAGACTCATACAAGCTAGTGCCAAATACTTCTCTGTAAAAACAAAACCCCAGGGTAGGATTTGGGGTGTGAACATACCAGTGTGGGTTTTGTCTGGTAGATAAATTCATACACAAGGAAAATGGTCCCATCTGTAGCCTTCAGACAGTAACAAGCTGCCCAGTGTCCTTTTGGAAAATTCTCAAAAAGTGATGTTATTATGGGTAGGATAAAAGTCTCCAGAGTCTGAACTCCTCTCATTCTCGACTAGGTACATCTTTCAAAACAAAACTAATTCTAATTTTTCTTCAAACAAAACTAGCAGTCATTCCCATAAAATTCTGGAATAGAAGTTTGTTTCATGTCAGTGGAGAGGGAAGCAAAGTCTGGCCTTTGTGTTGACCTATGTCATACCTATGTGGCTGCATGTGACCTGTTGGGGTCCGCTGTTATTTGTGTCTGCCCCGACACGGGAAAAGTGGTTCTGGGTGGCCGCGATTTCGAAGGATGAGTCTGGACTCTCAGGTTTTCAGTCTTCAATCTTGTTTATTAATTCTTATCAACAAAGCTTTTCTTTCTGCCCAGCCGAGGTCCGCTCAGCAGGACAGTCAAGTGCACTCTCCCCCGCCCACAAGGTGGTTGTGTCCTTTATAGTGAGAATTACGTGTATCATATTTACCTTTATTTCCTGATACTATTCACCCTTATAGACAAGTGTACCTTCATCATGAACCAATCCAAAAGTGCCAACATCATCACACAAAATGGAAGACATGAAGAAGAAAGAAGAACACAGGACCACGCCCTGAATCCTCCATCTTGTCTTCATGACCCCCCTGTACCTAATTTTCTAAAATCTATATCTCATCCTGTAAATATACTATTCACACCCAAGAAGCTCTCATTTCCCCACACACAGATTTTTCCTCTTTAGATGGATCAAAGTCAAGCCACCAGACACTTCCGGCAACATTCCAGGGTTTTCGAGCCCCCCCCAAGGGCTCCCCCGGTGTCTCTGGACATCCAGAGTGATTTTTTGAGTTCCCACAGTCACCAGTGCTACCAGCTGGCAGGTTTGTCAGTGTTGCACTTGCATCCTTGATTCTGGTTCTCAGCTGTATCCCCTTCGCCTCCAGCCCACACAGCACATGCAGCTGCTGGGATGTCCTTTCTAATAAGAGAGCCCAAATGCCCAAAGCTCATTAGCAACCCCTTGAGATTGAGTGATGACGTAACACTGAGTATGTGCAGAAAGGGAGTGTGTGGCAGGCCTGTAGGTGCCCTAAGGACTGCACACACCCTTGGACAGGATCGCCTCAGGGCACAGTGCAGTGCAGTTGCCATCTCCAGTGTGTGCTGTTAGGTCCACCTACTCTGCCTGGGTTTTGTGTGGTTGAGTGACTTTGAGTTTCTTTCATAGCTCAGGATGTTTCCCTCTGCTGGTATGTTGTTAGAAGGGTCAGGCGTTAATTTGTGTGGTTTTATAATTGACATGCCCTGCACCTGAAGGTCACAACAACAATTTGCACCAGGAAAAATGGAACACTCAGAGGAAAGCCTTGCTCATTTTCTGCACCACAAGGGAAGTCTCTGGACCCTGCACATGACTCAGACATGGTCCGCAGCAACTGCAGGATTCTGGCATCAGCCTGGTGATTTTGCAGGGCTGCCTATTGTACTCTAATCACCTGCTCTCATGGGCAGCTGCACCAGCGTGACAGGTTTTCCTGCCTCTTCAAAACACAACGCTGGCCAATGGATATGGGCAGAACTTACTGTTTACACTTTTCTGCATGGCAGACATGTCCTGTTTTTCTGTGGGAAACTGCTGCCTGGGAGGAAGTGGTGACTTCCTTGCATGTCCTGTGTGTTACCCTTTCATCCCATGTTCACTCTAAATCTCAGGACTGAGACTTTCCAACTGACCAAAAGGCTTTGAAATTCACGCCCTCAGCACCTTCATGCAAGAACCACAAGCTAAAACGCTCCTCAACGCTTCTAACACGCTTGGTTGCTTGAAAGTGTCCTTCAGAGTGAGGATTTTATCTGACAGCAGTGACCAGAAAAGCCAGTGTTGGCAGCAGGCACAACCCCAAAGAATTGTTCCCTTCACTCAACTTTGAGTAAAGCAGGTCCCAAGAAGAAATCCTAACATATATGTGCAGTCCGCCAAGACCCTGAGGGTCCGGCAAACCCCAGTGCCAGGGGCTCACTGGACCTGGTCGTTGCCTTGTCAATCACTGAACTTGGGGTGAGGCCCAAAGGAAGGCAGGTGGGTTCCATGGCAACTTTAGCCTCTCTCTGCTCACCAGGGTCAGCAGATAAACATGCTGCAGTGGCAGTACCATGACCAAAGCAAGGAGCCTGTTAGCCCACTGTCAAATACATGGTGGTAAATTAAATTACTCCACTCCAAAAACCAGCCTCATTTGCTTGAAGATTTTATTCTGATGCTAGAAAGCATGGTGCAGGAGGTGGGAAGTTCCTCCACAGCCCTCAGGAAAGCCCTGTCTTCCTATACTACATCCTGAGCTTCTCTGGTCCTGTATACCAGTGTGTAGATTGGCCACCTGAGTAAAGAAGTTGTAGAGCATGGTGCTTTTATAACACCAAGGACACACAAATGCATGCAAAGTTTATGGGCATCTTTCTAATGCTCTGGTGTTTTCCTGCACCAGGTGGAATGTGGAGAGAGGATCAGCAGTCCTCTGGAGACTTCACAGACAGGGAGGATGTTTCACCCACTTGGCATCTGCAAGGACACAAAATGAGTGCGATAGTATCAATAGAGGCTATAATTAATGCTTTGTCTGCCAGACAGAACTTCTCTGGAACAGAAAAGAGAGACCTGGAAACTCCAAATGGCAAGGGTGATACAGGGTGTCAGCTGGAGAGAGGAAAATCCAGTCGACCTGATTTGTACAAGAATTGCACACATCCACTACCTGTCTCCAGCCAAGGAATGTGAGATTGTATGGGCTGCCTGGCTCACCCAGCTTGGTCCTCAGTTCTCACAGGCACCACATTTCAGGAATATATTGAATTCCATCTTAAAAGGGGCTTGGTATTTGCCTGGAGTAGAAGTTTGTTTCACAGCCCAGTTACTGAACACAACCCCTCCAGGGTTATGGCATGTTTGACAGAGGTCATGAGCCTATTGGTAAAGTGATTGCAGAAGTGGAACTTTGGCTGGAGGTTGGGTAATGTCAGAAATATTGAGCCTCCTTCAAATTTCCCTTCAAATTTGCTGTCCTGCCCTCACATGCAACACCTTCTTGCCTTTTAAGATGGAAAAGGTAGCATGCATGCTTCAATAGATACCCAGTGTTTGTTTATTTTTTTATGACCCATTTGCCTTAAAATTATCTTGGTCTGTTCCCAGTCTCCACAGATCAGCCTTAAAGTTACCATGTAAATCACAGCTCTCCTCATTCTATACACACAGACAGGGAGCAATAAAGAAGCTATAAAAAGAAATTTGGCACTTTTTCAGCTTATCATCTAAGTGTAATGGGTTGTTCTTTACACAAGAAAAAAGTTGACCTCTATTATTTGCATCAAAGAGGTGAAGCTAGATGGGGTTTTAAAGTGGAAAATTCCTGAAAAAGCAAGAAGTGAATGGCACAGAAATGTCTATTGGCCCAGCTGTCAGGTCTAGGTTTCACCCTGGCTCACCCCTGCATGGAAAGGAAAAACATGTCTCTTCTCTATGGTGGCTGGGTGGACGAAAGAGTTGAGAGCAGCAGGGACCCTGATTTACAGCCCAGCTGTCCTCACTCAGAGGACATGATCAAAGCATCCTGCGATCCCCCACTGAAGAGATGGGAAGAAACGGCCGACTGGCCATCTGCTTGGCATGTTCAGCTCTAGCATGAGGCCAAGGCAAGGGCTTTGTTTTCATGGACCAGAGCTTCTCACAGTGGCTGCTGAGAGGAAGTGGCTGAAAACTAATTCTCAATTAAGTTGTGGAACCAGTAGGTGGGAAGTTCCACGCAGGCCAAAAGCCTATAATCTCGTCTAGAGATGACTTTTGTTAAGAAAGAAAAGGGTTTGTGATGTCCTGTCCACAAATTTCCTGGTGTGCTCTGGAGGAGGTCATGACCCCTGAAAACTTGTGCCCCTCTCCTACTGAGGATTGATGCAGCCTTTTGGAGACCCAACTACCAGTACATGAGCAGATCCCCAACCAGAGGTATAAAACAGCAACGTGGGATGCTGCTCTCTATCTTGAACACAGGACCAGGCCAAGGTCCTCTGTGGTCATGGGATTAATGTGTGCAAGGTCACAAGTCACAAGCCCAGGCTGAGCTCAGAGCAGAGATGACTGTGGTCACCTCGGGCCTTCAGCGCAGCATGGAGTGTGAGGCATCTCCAGAGACATGGCTTGACAGGGACAGCTTATCATCCTGGAGAAAAGGCGTAAGGCACAGGCCATGCCTGGTGCTGTGCTGTTTCCAGAACATGGCTCCAGAAAGGGGCTCCTTGGGATTTGAGGGCAGGGCTTGCACATGTGCATACTGCCAACCTGAATTACATGGTTGGCAGAGACCACTCATATACACTGCTGATGGCCAGGTCACCAGACCTGGCTCATCTCCAGATGCCTGCTTGGAAAAGGAAGGGTACCCATAGTAAGCAAGTCAGAAACCTATCTGAAGGGACCCTTGTGAGAGCAGTCCCACTCCCTGCCTGCAACCCCAGCAGCACTTCCTCCACCCCAACATGGTGTTGTGTGTGTTGGATTATTTGATCTTTGAGACTGTCTTGAGGGGAAAAGCAAAGAAGGGCCTTGGTGGAAATGTCATGCAGCTTGCCACCAAAGGGGAGGCTCCAGGGCAGCCTCAGGAGGTGCCGCTCTGTGGCTGCCATGGCTACAGAGCATGTGGGCTGTGTAAGCATATTGGGTCCTCCCACCTGGGGAATCAATCCCCAGGTTTGAAAGGAAGCTGTTAAATGCCTGGAGGGCTGATTGTTCTTCCCTTATGAACCTGGGGAAAGGGTGGTTAGTGGAGAAAGGGACTGTGATTTTGGAACATATTTATATGGGCTATGGGAAATGAGGAATACTTGAGTCCCTAAAAGGACAGACCTAGGCAGAAGGGATGTGCAGAGGACAGTCACTGGGGCATATGTGGTATAGAGGTGGACTTTATGGACAGGGGTAGCTTCCACTTTGGGCCAGTCCTGAAAACCCAGCTGTGATTCCTCAGATTCACAAGTTGGAAAATACAGCAAAGCATTAAATTCCACCTCCAGCATGTTTATTTCTTCAGTTCCTCCAGCCACCTCCTCACCCTAGCCTCTTAGCTCTAATCCTTCATGTTTACATCACACTGCCTACCAGGGGGAATAACTCTTGGCCTGGACAGGAGCTTGGTTCTTTAGGCTTGCTCTCGCCATCAGAGTCACACCCTGATGCACAAGCCACCTGCATGGCCACCCTTCCCTAACACTACTGCCAGCCTCAAGGAAGTGGTTGAAACATGACGTCCACACCTGGTCTTGACCCCATGTGCTGTTGCCATTTCCAGTTTTATTCAGTATGGCTTCCTGGATAAACAGATGGATTTTCCTCTCCTGACCCTTCATAAATATTATTTCAAGGGTGCCTTTGAAATTGTACAAACAATCACCTGTTTTCCACCTTCACACAATATTTTTACTGTCCTTCATTATGCAGATGGTTTTTTTAGTCCCTGCCTGAGCTAGCATTCTTCTCCAGTGGCTCATACTTCTGTTTACCCCATAAGCAACATGTGCCTTTCAGCCACAGCTCTGAATTTCTTGCAAATGATTTCATTGTATTTTAGTCACAGCAACGACTGAGGGATTCTTACAGCATTAGAGGCCTGTGCCTTCCTCACAGAGATATCAAGGATTCTATCAAAAAGGCCTAGCCTGACAAGGTTTTCTTACTTGAAGAACTAAAATGCTAAATTTGGATGTCTTACATTACTGTATATGAGCAAGTGAGGGAAAACCTGCCCTTATGTACCTTAAAGCTTGTCTTTTTTCCTAATTGTGTGATTTGGTGCAAGCAAAAGATATATTTTCTCCCCATGACACTATTTATTTATATTATCTACCACAGATATAACACAAATATGGAAGACTGTAAACGTGAATGGCTGGGGTGAGGTAGCAGAAGCAGTCACCTCATCTGTATTTCAGAATTTAGTGCAACCATAAAAACCATTCCTGATAAAATACTAGAAGCAAAATCAGCAATGAATGCATCATCACCATCATAAAGGCACTGAGAAGTCAACCACAAGCAAGCACAAAGGGGAGTCTTGGAGGCCTCCAAATTTTGTCGACTTACTGCTACTGCTCTTTTTTTCTGTACTTATTAGCTGCCACCCCACCTTGAGTAACATCTCTGAAGGCAGCCCTGGAGAAGCGTGGCAGCCAGAGGCTATTTTTCCTCTGTTCTCATCTTCTGCTTGAAGACCTTTGCTCCCTCAGCAAATCCTAACAAACTTATATGGCACTTGAATGAACAGCTTAACTGTAAACACAGAGCAGGACCAAAGGTGAGATAAACAGGAGCCCAGCAGCTCTCAATGATCCGGGAACAAGGGGCAGAGTTGACGTTCAAGAATTGGACTGAGACTGATGTTTGCTTGCCCCTGAGATCACAGGATGTTGTTTTGAGGACCCTTTCCATGGGGTTCCTGTAGGAAATTCACTGCCTATTAAAAGCAAAGTGGAAGAGAAGAACAAAATTAACTCCATAGCTCAGACCACTGACTGACCTTCTGACATGCTCACCCACTGCCTGGTCATCCATCACACTGACCTCCTTAGCAGCAATGGGGTCCTCCTGCAGTTTATGCACCCTCTGCTAGTACAACTCCCTGGGACAGGAGTTTCCCTTCACCAGGTTTGCACAGCACACAGAGCTGGGGAGAACCAGTGGAAACACTTACAGATAGATAACTATTGTTTTTCTAAGAGCAGACTTGCATTGCTTTTGGCAACATTTGACACAGCCAGCTTCAAAACACTTGCCCTGGACCAGGAACATGACAAAGCTCAGCAGGATTGCACCAAGCGGGTGCCTTGTTCCTTGACTGGTATTAGCTGCTGCTTCCTAACAACCAGCACTATCTGTGAGACCTCAGCTCTCTGCCTTCCCCCAACACCTCCAGGGATGCATGTGGCTTCATGGTGCAGTGAAGAGGGTGCCAAGGGCCGAGCTGTAAAGCCAAAGTGACTTGACCAGGTGACATGTGTTTGGAGCGCTGCACTGCACCTTTCTGCAGACGTGCCAGCAGCGTGTTGGTGAAGCTGCTTCTGCATTGTGTTATTTACCTGCATACATCACCCAGCATGGCTACACCTGGCACCAGTGTCTGCAGACAGAGCAGGCTGGAATGTTTTAAAACACAGTTTTTTGCCCCAAAATGTTTTTATATTAAATGCATTGTTTTTAGTAACCAGATATGAATATCAGTGGAAATTTCCCTGGCAAAATATGTCAATATGGGCATCTTCTTTGTTCTGGGCGGAGAAGTACATATTCATAAATTTTAAAAATTCACAATTTTATTGCAGTTTTCATTGTAATGCTTTTTAACTTAGTGAGAGACCCAGCATGCTATCACCATATGAAAGACTTGAAATATTGCCATTTTATTTCCTTTCTTAAATCATGATGGACAGCTGCTATTTAGTACTAATTAAAACACCTTATCTTTTTTTCACAGATCAAAGTGTCTCCTGTTTGTTTTGTAATGAAGCAGTGTGACA